AGTTGGCTTGCTATTCACCAGCTTCTTGTTTGAATTTTCGCGTTCCACCTTAAATGGTAGCAGTATTCTGAACTCAAACTTAGTCATAGTTAGAACTGTGAAAATCATTTTCCAGCAGTGAAACTAATCATAAAAAATGACGTAGCGTCACATGGAGCATCTGCAACAGGCAACACCAAACCGCAGAAAGTATGCAAGCTTGTAAGTTCGCGAAGGCGCTTTCGGCTTCGCACAACCCTCGAGAATTTTGTTACGCAAGAAGTCTGCTGTGGCCTTTACTGGAGCAAAAAGACTCAGAAACGGATCCAGATCATCACCTTTTACAGTACTAATAAAGATGCTAGGTTAAAACTGAGGCAGGCAGCAGATCAGACCATTTTGTTTTTATACATTTACATGCCGCAGAGGACAAATACATCACTGGCACTTAAAGAAGACATAAATTAAGCCTATAAATAAAGAATTCTTAGTGTTATTAATATTTTGTCACTGTCGAGACAAAACCTCATGTCTCCAGAAAGTTAACTTTAAAGGAGAAGGGAAAATTACTTGTTTACTTTGAATGGGAGTTAATGGAACCAGACCTTTCCAGGTAATTTGAGCATCTCAGTTGGTCCATTCATCATAAAAATTTAACACAATGTAAAGAGCAGATGACACTTTCAAATTTTGTCAAAAAAATGACAATGATGACAAAAATGGAGATACAAAGTTTTGTCCTGACAGCAGCAATTTGTATGTTACTGAAATACTTGCATATTCTTTTAAATGAAAAAAAAAAGTGTATTAAAATAGCCAAGTGCAATCACTGTTGTCAAAGTTATGATGAATTTTGTTCTTGCTTCACGCTTTAGAATCAGTGTCTCCACCCACGCACGTAAAGTACATTTCAAATCCGTGGGAAACACTGATTCATCATCTATATTGAACAAAAAGAAAGTTTTCTTTTGATATCATTTTATTGCCCAAGTTTGACTGTCATGTATCAGAGTTTCCTCACTGATTTGATGTGAAACACATAATCTGTGCCTCACACTTCACTTACATGCCGAGTTCTGGCATTGCTCTGCTCCTCGAAGATTGAGTCAGGTGGCCTCTAACTGTTTAGCCAAGCACATCATAATATAATGACCTCTCTCTTTCCCTTTGGTGTGTGGGGTGGGGGGTGGGGGAGTGGTTCGGTCTTCAGTGAAATAGCTGACACATTACTGTTCCTCCTCTGCATGTTGCCTTGGCTGGGTGGAGACTTGGCCCCCCGCAGCGAGCCGTTTGATACTACAGACAGAGTAATGAATTCCAGATTGCTGACTGGGCGCTGTGGTCAGAGTGCCGCAGCATACTGTACATTACCACATCGTCAACCCGCCTAGATCCGCAGCCAGATTTATGCTACTAAACATCAACCATGAATCGCTGAACTGTTAAAACTACTGGCTTGTGCAGAGAACAGTGCCTCTGAATGCAGCAGTGCCCAGTCAAGCTTAGTAGCAGTGACCAGTAGGGTTGAAGTTTTGCCTGCAGTTCCTTTACACTGCAGTTCACTGACTGAGTTTTCTGTTGGTTGTTTTTAGGAGTGTTTCGGGAGGGAATGCTTTACCCAGAAAAAGGCTGGTCATGATCATGAAACTTTAGCTGACGATTAAATTGCAATTAATAATTTCTTACTTTGTTGTAGTGCAGCTATTAAAGAGCAAGCCTAAAATGGTCTAATTATTAGCTATCTTGCTTGATTTAGTGTTAACAAACATATTAAGAAACAAATAAACACGATTCACTGCTGCCCTCTAAAGGCATTATTAACAAACATCAAATAAACCAGCGTTACTCACCGCTGCCCTCTAAAGGCGTAATTCACATCCATCAAATAAACCAGCGTTACTCACCGCTGCCCTCTAAAGGCGTTATTCACAAACATCAAATAAACAAACGTTACTCACTGCTGCCCTCTAAAGGCGTTATTCACAAACATCAAATAAACAAATGTTACTCACTGCTGCCCTCTAAAGGCGTTATTAACAAACATCAAATAAACCAGCGTTACTCAGTGCCGCCCTCTAAAGGCATTATTAACAAACATCAAATAAACCAGCGTTACTCACCGCCGCCCTCTAAAGGTGTTATTCACAAACATCAAATAAACAAACGTTACTCACTGCTGCCCTCTAAAGGCGTTATTCACATCCATCAAATAAACCAATGTTACTAACTGCCGCCCTCTAAAGGCGTTATTAACAAATAAACACGCATTACTTGCCATCGTCTTCTAAAGATGTTTACTCATCAGTCAGATGTTAGAACATTTGTTTTTGCAAGACACATGATGTCTCAATGAATGTATTTTTTTATTTGTTTGTTTATGTACATGTATTTGCTTCAACCCAACCGATGAACAGTTTACATTGTTTGTTGTTACAAATGAATGATCAGCTCAGATAATCCTGATGATGTAACTATATAATAATCATGACAGGATCTTTTGTTAAACAGTTTGTGTTAACTAGTCTCCTATAGCCTTCAGTGTTGCTGCCAATGTGTCTAACAAGGACGTATTCCTTTAAATACTTTGGCAGTAATGCACACTTGCATTGGCACAACAGCCTCATCAGCCATGCTGAAGTCGTGACCGTAGGCAGGCAGGTCACTAGCCAGAAGATGCGAAAGCCTGCTTAACTTTCAGCCTATCAGGTCTATCCGCCCTTTCTAGGGTGGATAGACCTAATAGTGTAAATATGTTTAAAGCACGAGACGTTCCTTTGCTGAATGCTGCGGGCCTGTAGGAGAATGTGTGGGTTGTGTCTCTACCTCTCAACTCGGTGGAGCCTGCCAGATCTCTTGAATGGCTTTTGTTTTAGTTTAGCAGCGCAGGGCTCAGCCAAGCAGCACTTCTCTTTGTTGCTTTATAATTGAAAGGCACTTTGCTCTGCCTGTGTGTTTTGAGTGACTCACAGGTAGCTTTATCTTCCATCTTGACATTGATATACAGCATGTTCTCCCCACCAAGATAAATGCTATTACCATTAATACCAGATTGCCACAAGCTTTAGCTTTAATCTAAAGCGATACAGGACGTGTGTGGAAAAAATAAGCTGTACAAAGCCAAATTTAGATAATGAACGTCTGTGGCTCTGAACAGTCCAGCCATATATAGAGTCTCAGTGAATCCTTGTGAAAGGCTCAGTGGAAGATTATGTGAGGTTTATTTTAAAATGTAGACAATGGTATAGAGCAGGAGGTATGCAGAGACTAACAGGACAAAACATGGTTAACCTCAGAAGGTTTTATCGTTATCTACAGAGATTTGGCAAGACCGAAGGGAAGATAAAACCCACTGGTGTCTGCAAACCCGATGGTGTCAACAAAACCCTCTGAGGAAAAAATATCCATAACATCCATTTCTGCTGGTCGTTATCAGTGTTAGACTGTCAGACCAGCTGAGTTTTTTGTTTTTCCCCCAATTCACCATTTTTCAAAGCACATTTTTGTTACTGAATGCATATTTTTACTTTGTTTTATCAAAAGTATGTCTGATAATTCACTTTTAAATAAGTTAATAAGGCATTAATGCAATACAGTGTAAACGCCACAATTTTAAATGCTGTATTTTCCTTCAAAACATCTGCAGTAGTTTCAGGAGTATGTTTGTATGATAGTATCTCATTCAAATACAGCTTTTAAATGATTTTAAGGCGAAACCTTAAGCAGACTACTCTGGACAGTGCTTGCGAGAGACCTATGGATAAATCAATCAGTAGCAAAGTAACAAAAGCAACAGCCAAGTGGAGCTCCAGTTCCCCTCGAGAGCCTCCACTGTAACAGGAATTCACAAGCGGTATGAACAACAGCGAGAGGCTACTATCAGGGAGGAGCTGAACCGTTAACTGTATATATGGTATATATGATATGTAAATCACTCTGGTTAATCAAAATAGCAAGTCATTTTATAGGAACTGGGCCATTTAGTGAGCTCTGCACTGACCTTGTCTTAAATAAGCTTCAATGTATTATTAAAGTTTCTCCTTTATATCAGAACTTTAACAACCAGGTTCAAACAGTCTTTTCCAACCTGCTGCTATGAATGTATTACAGTCAAATGGAATTTGGTTTGAAGCTTGAGTTGCTTGGCTGCACCTTTGTGGTTAAAGGTGTTGCTTTTTGTGGTAATTTTATTGTTTTTATTACATTTTTGTGTGGTTGTGTATATATTTTTGCACCATTGACCAACTGCATTTCCTGTATGGGTAATAAAAAAAACTCTATGGTGCTCACGTAATTTTCATGTTCTGGTTCATGTTCATCTTTCTTACTTAGTGTAGTTGATCGTAATTAACGCTTGTGTGGTGTTGGGGTCTGTGGGACCATTTTCAGTGTTTACCGAAAGAAAAAATGATGTGATTGATTATTATTTCAACCTCAGATTCTTGGCCTTTGCTCATTTTCTGTGAAGAACATATAAAATACCACAATTTTCAGTGTCTTCACTCTGTTCACCCCCCACACATTTATATTACACATGGTGTTGGGTGAACCCGCAGGGAGTAAAAGTGTGGAGGTGCTGTGTCCTTCACTCTGTTCTCCTCCTACATGGCCTGCTGTTAGTGTCTGTGTGTGTGTGTGTGTGTGTGTGTCTGTGTGTCTGTGTGTGTGAGGGTGGACAACATGGACAGGCTGCTGACTGGCTACAGCTGCTAAAGGAGAACCCTACGCTGGCCACTTGTGATATTTTAAACATCTGGTATTTTTACATAAATTGTTATGGCTGTATTGATTTAAAAAACAATAATGCGGTGGGTCCAGCAGACCACTGAGTAACAAACACATCAACACCACACAAGGGTTAACTTTACTAAATAATGTGACTAATTACGATTCATTATTTTAACGATTTGTAGGGCCCTAGTTTTACATAAACCTTTTCCGACAGCCATCTGTCCCCTTTTAACCACGTTATGTATTGTATAACTTGTCTTGTCATCTGGTTAATATAAGACATTCTTTTTCAGTGATGAAAGTGCAAGATCAGACCTGAAGAAGCTCCCCGTATTCCCCACAGCTGTTTTAAAGGAGCACCCATCGCTGACCTATTGGTAAGTGATATTTAAAGAAACAGTAACCAGTACCAACCTCTACTCACAGGTTTACTGTTCACCTCAAACAGCCTTAATTTTCCCTCTAATGGCCTTTAATTATCACCTCCAGTCTGCTTAATTGTAGCCTAGAAGCTCAAAGTAGCTATGATTGTCAAAGTTACTTATTACAGCCAGATGCAAAGTGTTTAGTCCCTGCGAGTAACAGACTAATTACCCCAAAACACGGCCGGTTAAAGGAACAATTTGTGGAAATATCACTTTTACATGATTTCCCCCTTTCACTAAATGTAATAGATCAAGTATGGCGTGTTTGGTGTCTGAAGTTTGCTTCTTTAGTTTTAGCACAGGAGCTATGAGGCTCATGAAGCTAGGGAATAATAAAAGTCTATAGTTGCCCAAAGTCTTTTCCATAAAGTAAATAAAAAGCAACAAAACTGTAGCTGAAATAAAATGTGCTTCCTGCAAATTCACCTCTTAAAGGTAGTATCAGTAAAAATGATGTCATATAGCAGTACAGTGTCACAGTCAATGGGCAAAAGCTGTAGTTTACACAATATAGCATCTCTAGGAAGTTTTTTGATGTATAAGACTCCTCAGGAGTTTTCAGTTCTGTTGTTACAGTCCTGAATGCAGCACTTCATTGTGAGATGTTTAACAGTTCAGGTGGTAAAATCAGAAGTAACTCACTGTCTCACAGTAATTTTGCGCTACATGCCCCACATGGAAGGCAGAATTATACTGGAGGCCTGTAAGTAATGTGGATGATAATATAGTCCTATTTTGAGCTTATTCTAAATGCAGCCTGTATTTGCTGTTACTGATATTTTATTAAACAGTTGATTTGGGCATTTGGAGACCTCTCTGGTGGAAATGTGTAATTGCAGACAGTGTGCGGAAGAACAATTGGTAACATGGTTTGTGCTTCGGGCCCCTCCCCCGGGCGGATTAATCTGATGATTGCAAGCATGTTTAAAAAGAATTCAGTCAGAACTTGGTGAAGGACGTGTCTTCTGAGGATGTGAGTGAATTATCTACTCTTTTCATCACATCTTCATCAGTATAATGTTGTTCTTTTTGACCCTGTGCTTGTATCGTTAATATGTGTTATAGCCAGACATATGACATGGCTCGAAAAACTCCCTCCAAATCTGATACCTCTGAAATTTTTTTTTAAATAAATGTTCCAGGGCAGCTCGCAGCACTGCATGCTCACCATACTTCAGCATGTTCTTTTTTCTCTTGACTTAGTAATGCACTTCTTTCAATTTTAACAAAACATCAGCTTTCAAAATAAGATTACATAGCTTCATGATGTCATTTGAAGCAAGTATATGAAGTTTTGCACATGTATTTGCGGAAATGATTTTGGGTGACTATAGATTATTGTTTGTTAGCTACATTAGCCCCATAGTTCCAGCATAAAACAACAATAAAAATAAAAAAAAATAAAGAAGGAAAATTCGGACAATAAATGCATCTTGGCTGACTGACTACATTTGGGACAGAGCTGTACGATGCAACACTATTGTCACGTACTAGGAGAAATTAGTCGCGTGCAAACACAAAGTTGCACACGTGCAAAATAGGTATACTGTTTTTATATCCATTATTTTAGATATTAAACTGTTTAGTGTTTCATTTTGATATCTGTGACAGCAACCATACTCAAGATCCTGCTGGTGTGGATTCACGTGTCAGCTTCATCTCACTTATTTGTGCACGAAAATGCTACTTGAGTGCTAACAGTGCCCCCTAGTGGGGGATCTGAAGTACTGTGAATCAGTACTAAAGTCAGTAATTCCCAAAATTGCTTGCTGCAGCTGTTATTGACACTCAATCTCTGTTAATTGGGATTGTTATGCTTTTATTTTAGTGTTATTTTAAGTTGTGCTACAACACTTTCAAATTTCATGGCACCAATGCTACAAACTTTTAAATAAAATCACATACAGCCCTGGTTTGGGGTAAAGATTTGGAAAATGATGTAAATTAGATTTTTTTGCTGAACCATTCCTTTATTGTACTAAATTAATAATGCCTGCTTTGGAACATCACCTAGAGGTGGTCTGGCACCTGTTTAGAATAGTAGCTTCATTGGTGTGTGGAGCTTATTCAGTGGCCCTTCAGGAGAGAAGCAGCTGGACTGGACAAGTGACACACTTGAATATAGGAGTGTGTGTGTGTGTACGTGGTGTGATGCCTGTGCGTGTGTGGGGGCACGTGTGCAGAAGCAGCTGTGAAGCTCCTGCCTTACAGCCACTTTCTATTGGGGTATGTGTAGTGTAATTAGAGGAGATACCAGGCGAAGGGCAGACGCTGGGTGATTGACAGGACAGTTGGCCAGATGGCATTTCACGGATGAACACGCTGAACTCATGTATCTGGCTGGTTAAAGAGCAGCAGTCATTTCAAGTGGCACATTCACACTTTGGCCCAGCAGCATTCAATTACTGTTCATTTTGCACGTGTGAATTGTGACTCATTTCTCTGTCTCGATCTCTGTCTGTGTGTCCCTCCCTTTTCTTTTTCTCTCTCTCTCTCTCTCTCACTCTCTCTCTCTGTGTTTAGTGAAGACAGGGTAATTGAGCATTACAAAGCTCTCAAGGGACTCACCCGAGGAAAAGCCATTGTACAGTAAGCACACTAATAATTTATCTCACCATCACCACAAGCGCACTGACTGATGAAGGGCCTATCATTTGGATCAGAGCCTCATATTTGCTGCTTTGAACTTGTTTGTGAAAGGATCACAATCTGTCTGCTAAAGAAAATGAATCATAGGGAAAGTCCATCATGTTTTTCCTGCATATTTTTGTAGTTGTAAACAAACCAAAGACACACCACAGAGTGGTTTGGTGTGAGCTGGTCTATTATAGAGAAACTTACTGAGATTTCTTTACAGAGGTGGTGATAAGAGGTCACAATATCTATGACACAAATATAATCATTCTATTTATTTTATATCTATTCAGCACTTCAATGATAATGTTGATGACAGTAAATCTGAAGAAAAGAAGTTTTCTTTAGGGACTGTTTTGCCTTACAGTCCCCTGCATGTAGCCCTGCAAACCCTTGTCATTAACTGTCCCAAAACTATGTCTGGCATCAGGCATTCATAGTTATTTAATCAAATACATTAGTGGTATAACTTTTAAGAGGCTAGGTGTCAGACGTCTGCTTCCTCAGTAATTATCTCTAAATGTCACATTTCACATCAAACCACTCTGAATGGCGTTATTTATATCTTATCGAGTTATTTATGTAGAAATTGGAAAAAAAAATGGTGGAATTCCCCTTTAATTAAACACATTGCCTGAGCAGGGCAGCTGCTAGCATTGCTAACTGCCGGCATGTTGTCCTACTTTTCCCTTCTGTAACACAAGGTCATTTATGCCAGCTTAATTTGTATTGGAGTTGATCAACAAATAGACTTTCTTTGCCCTGACAGCTCTGAAAGTAGCGGCGTGAAGCTGTCGTCACTAACTTATAGCATACAAGTTAAACGTAACCCGTCCAAATTATAATGTTAACAGAACTAGACGTCTTAAATGGCCATGATTTCCCATTTCTGATGAGTAACCTCTGCTTTTCCATCAACAGGTATCTTTTGTTAGTGGAATCTTTACCTACATATGGGGTTCATTACTATGAAGTGAAGGTATGCAAACATTTAGCATCATTTTTAACAAAAGCTTGCTGGAGAATAAAGTTCTTGCTTTGTTACCCAAACAAAATTTAAGTACATCGTCTGTACCTGCTGACAGTGGTGTGCATGTCTTAAAGTTTGCTGAGTTGGCTCATTAAAACTGTCTGAGGAGTTCAAACGATGCTGCGAACCTGACTAGCCGCAGTCTATGCGTTTGATCTTTTTATTTTGCTAATGTCTCTAGTCTAATTGGGCAACTGCCTCAATAACAGCCCAACTTCCCTTTTAAACTGTACCTTTTAAACCTTCCACTGTTTCCTTTTCACAGGACAAGCAGGGGATCCCGTGGTGGTTGGGAATCAGCTATAAAGGCATTGCCCAGTATGACCAACAGGACAAGCTGAAGCCTAGAAAGGTACAGTGCTGCTTTTGTGAATACAGTGACGTGTTCCCTTTTGCTTTTTTCGACACTTTATCTTCGAACCTTCCCCTAAGTTAATATTTTACCAACCTGTAAATAAGCGCACAAAGAGAATCTGTGAGAAAAAGGTCAGGGAAGGCAGGGAATCTGGAATAAACAGTGAGAACGACAGGAAAGTGTGAACGACCTGCCGAAACGAGAAACTGTATCAGTGGTGCTAAATTCAACAAGGAGGTTTGTGTGTTTCGCTGTGGTGGTAATTCATTTAGTTAGTTCTTGCAGTGTTGCATTTAAAATGATGTCTTTTTGAGTGACATCTTAAATCTACTGTATATCTAACATTTTTAATTACTGATTGTTGGAAAAATATTAAAAGATGATTCATGTTTTGTCATATTGACGCTATCAGAGCAAAACCTTGTATCTCCATTTTTGTTTTTTTTTTGTTTTTTTTCCTCCATTTAGTTTTTTTTTTTACAGAATTTGAAAATGCCAGCTACTCTTAACAGTGTGTTATACAGGGTGATTCTAAAACATTCATCCGATTTCAAAATGATTTCACCTGTAAATCGTTACAGAACAATGCGGTAAACTGTAAATGGTTTAAATGAGCATAAAGTTTATGTAATTTTACAAGTGCTCAGTATGAATCTCCTCCAGCTGTACAGACAACATCAACACCATAGTCAAATTCATCCCATACTGGATTGAGCATGTTGGGTGTCACTGTACTCACGGCTCTTTCAGTGCGATTTCGGAGATCATCCAGTGTTGTGGAACCAACGACGAACGAACCAACGCAGAACGCTTTCTGCTGAGGAGTCACAGACTGAAGGGAGCCATCTTCCGGTGACAGTAAGAAACTCTGTGACCCCGTCTTTCAATTGGTATGTGATTGGTTCCTAAGCGCCTCATGGTTGTAAAATATAGCGCTTTGAAATCGGATGAATCTTTTTGAATCACCCTGTAATTTCATGGTGAATGCAGCAATGAAAATGCTCCAAAATTTAACATTTACTTGAACACAATATACAGAGGCACTTTCACACCTACCTTGTTTGATGTGGACGTAACAAACTTTTCTTTAGTTGGGTTCGTTATGGCAGGCGTGAACACTCCACCCATACTCAGGTGCGCACCCAACAGATGATCGGTGGTCTGGCAAAATTGCAGGTCTCGCGTCACCGCTAAGTGAACCCTGGTTCAGTTCGCTGCTTGTTGGGGTGCGTTTTTACGATGGTCCACACCAAATGATGGAATTCAACATCAGAACAAGCTTCTCTGCTTCTTCTTGCAGCACATCAGCGCTGTACTGTCTGCATAATCTTACTTATTATATTATTCCTGCAGCACGAACTGCTGCTAAAAACGGCAGACAAGCAGTAAAACAACAGCAAAGCGATTACTATAATTTTGGCACATGGATCGCAGAACATATTGCATCCGCAACCTGATTGGCTACATTCAAATTGACAGCCCAGTCATATAGAAGCAGATGTTAAGTAAGGTTTATTATTATTGAATGTGATGCATACAGACATTAAATGTCTTTGTTTTCATGCAAAGTTAAAGTTTTGGCTCAAACAGTGGCGAATGTGAGAGTAGCAGTGCGCTTGTATCTCTGCAAAACGTCTGACACAATAAATAAAAACTCAGGTGTGTAATTTGATGCACTTAAACCGTTGTGGTGTGAAACCAACCGAACCAAATGAAAAAGATAGTGTCACAAAAAAAAAACAAACTCTGGTTTGAACTTTATCAAATGAAGTAGGCGTGAAACCAGCCTGAGACTAAGCTGTGGCAGTAAGTGACTTGTTTACAGTTCCGTGTAAGAATGAAACTGCCAGCTGTTCTTTAGCCTCTTTGTCCTTGCCTAGATGCTCCAGTAACAGCTACTTGATGGCAACCTAGTAAACCCACTGTGTGTTTATTTCAGCTCATTTCTAGGTGTCTTTTTTCCTTATTTTAAGAAATTTTGTCTAGTGAAAGTGGCTTATCCTGTTGCTGGGTAATTCTGCTTGCCTTAATGCAGATCTTTTAGCTTGTTTCAGAAATAATGCTTTAAACAAGCAATATTCTCCCAAAATAATCAGACAATTCCGCTAGATTAGATTAGATTAAATGACCCTTATTAGTCCCACAACTGGGAAATATCACCTCCCCATTTAACCCATCTGTGCAGTGAAACACCACATACACACTAGTGAACACACACACTAGGGGGCAGTGAGCACACTTGCCCGCAGCGGTGGGCAGCCCTATCCGCAGCGCCCAGGGAGCAGTTGGGGGTTAGGTGCCTTGCTCAAGGCACCTCAGCAGCGACCTTCCAGTCACAGGGCTGGTTCCCTAACCTTCAGCCCATGATTGCCCCCCAAAAACTACTTAACATGTAAAAGTATCTAAAATGGGCTCAGTAATCTTACATTTTGTGTATTGTTACAACAATCTCATAAGGATGTTACATATATCGACTAGATTTAAGATGATTTCACTTGCCAAGATACCATTTTTCTCATCTAAAGGAAGTTACCTTTAGCAAACAAAATTGCTCCAAATAACGTGGCGTTCATTGTTTCTGTTGTTATTGTTTCAGTCTGTTGTTAACTAGCATCTTTATCTCCCACTTTCACATGTTCCCCCTGACAGATTTTGGCTTTTTGCCCTGCCATTTAAGAAGTATGTACACTTTGCTCTTTTTCATTTGGCAGAGGGGCTGCGTTTTTCCCCCGCAGGACCCCCTCATTACAGTGTGTGCTTACTGGCATCCATTAGCTGAGCCCTCAGTAGAGCACAGCTGGGCGCGTGAGTGCCCTGCACAGTGGCAGAGCGTTAATGGGCATGTCGCTCTCTGCAGCCCAGCCCTTCAGTTGAAGGTGTAATTGTGGGGCTCTGTGGGGAGCAGAGCTGGGAGGCATGGGCTCGAGCTGGATCCGTTGGTGTGTGAAAGGGGTTTGGCTCCGAGTTGCCTCACCAGCTTACACTTCACAGGGATTTTAGTTCCATTTGAATCCACCATGTCAGTAATTTTTACAAACTGGGCCTTCCAGAGTCAGTAAAGAGACAGACTGCTTTTACCTGCTACAAAATGATGAGTTGAAAGGCATGCACAATGAATCGGACTCAAATCTGTGTCAGCAAACAATTGCTTAAAAATAATTGTCGGATTTTGACTGATGTTTCGATTTTGCAGATATTTCTAACCAGTTTTTGATGACACATTTATTGCACTACTGTGCACCACTGAACAATACGTTAGATCACAGAGATCTAAGAGAACCTGTAATCCATTAAAACCAGTGTAGATTTTCTTTTTCGTGGTGTTTTTTTGGCAACATCGCCCAAAACACCACTAGGGAGCCTTTTGGGATTCAGTCTGGCAAAGCTGAGGTGTAAATAAGGGATGGGAGTTCTTTCCTCACCCTTCATTTTCTTTCTCAGCCAGCTTTTCCCCTGGCAAAGTTATAGCAAAGACGTGGGTGGGGGGCATGAGGGGCCCTCACGCTAGATCTGTCCCCTCTTTTTTCTTCTTTCCCCTCTTTCTTCCCCCTACCTCCCTCTCTTTCTTCTGTCCCTGCCTCACTCATTCGCTCCCCCCTCTCGCTCCTTCTCTCGAGTGTTTTTACTCGCTCTTTTTAAACGTACACAGCCCTGTCAGAGCACGCCCCGTCATCTTGCCAGTATTGATTGTGCTTGCTGTCAGTGCTAGCTAGCCTTTGTATTCCCTCCTGGCCCGCTCCCCCGAGTCTGCCACCAGCGGGCCGCGCTCATTATGCAAATCCGTCCCCCGTCATTGTGGTCCTCTCTCAGCCCAAACAATTGATCAAGCAATAAAACACAATTAGCTTAGTAGGGGGGCTCAGGGAGCAGAGGACTGGTCTCGCGCCCGGGCCTGTTTCACATGAGGGATCTACTGGGGGTCGTCAGATTAAAAAGCTTTTAAAGAGCGCCTTTTCCCGGTCTGTGGAGTGATGTGGAGTGAAGGCAGCTACTGTGCTGTGATGTTTTTTTTTGTCTGTTAGTTTTACTGCAAAAGGCTTTTCAGGAAATATGATCTCATTGGGATCAGATTTGGGTCATCTTAAAGCATTGGGGAGGCCACAAATCTGATTTATTCTCCTTGCTTCAAATGTCGGCCAAGACATGTTCGGTGTCTGAAGTTTGCTTCTTTAGTTTTGCACTGGAGCTATGTGGCTAATGTAGCTAAGAAGTGGCTAATGAAGAAAATAAGAAAATAACACAGAAGATGGTTTGTGGGGCCGTTGAAAAGGGACATGTAAATTACTCTACATAGATTACTTTATATAGCAAGAATAATGTGGTTTGTTAAACATACACACTGCTCAATTGCCTGACTAATGGAGTGGTTGAATGTGGTGTGTGCAACTTTGTGTTTTGAATTGCTTTGTGTAACTGTCAAGTTGCATGCACTGCAAAAGGCAGTATCTTGTCAAGCGAAGTGATCTTAATTGTAGTTGATCTATCTAATATTTCTCATTTTAAGATGGTTGTGCATTTATTATAAGATTATTTAGCTTATTTCACTTAGCTTTGCTTGTTTTAAGTGATTTCATTAAGATTTTAGGTAATCTTATTAAGGTATTATTCTTAAAACAAGCTAAATTATGTGCCAATATAGTGCAGCAGAGTCTGGCTGCAGACATGCACTCTCGGCCCCAGTGACGTCAAGTGCACTCTCTGCCACAACGGCAGAATCAGCCAAACTTTTGGCTGCTGCTGCTTAGCGACATCACTTAATCCATTTTTCATCCATAACGCATTTAATGTACCTCCCTGTTGAAAAAAAAAAAACATAGAACCCATTAAAAGCATCTGTTGGTTCCTGGTGGTGTCCAGTAGTCACTATTAGTACTCTGTGTTTTCTGATGGGTTGATATCACAGTGTAAAAGATTCTGATCGTTTAATCAGGTCTTCTGGGACTGATTCCATATACATTTGATCGTTTCCTAATGGCCTATAATGGCAACCATTAAGC